TGTGTGTGTGTGTGTGTGTGTGTGTGTGTGTGTGTAGTGGTTGTGTGTGTGTGTATTATAATGAATTATTATTATTATTATTATTTTCAATTAATAATACGATTTAGAGGCCAAGCTGAAGATGGAAGGAACAGTTACTGAGTCTTTTGGGAATAGATGTTAACTGATGCGTAAAACGGCTCATATGCTTCACCTTTGCAAGCCAAGATGCATCAAGCATGAGGAGGAAGTGCAAAATTGGAAAAGTGTGCTTTTGCTTGACCGTTCAAATCAACATCCTTTAACTTTTAACCTTTGACCTCAACATTCTTGTGAGCGCCTAAACTAATCATAGTTAAAGTTAAAAAACAGTTATTTTGCCCCTTTGCACAGGAAGACTCTGTGTCTGCTAAAGCAAAGTAGAGAAAATAGCCAACTGTCTCTATAGCTGAATTTTGAGTGATGATTTTAAAAAATATACATTACTAAAAATCATTTCTTGGACTTGGCAATCCATTAAATATCATAGAAATAAAATAACTGATGGGCAAACAGGATCTTTAAAAGGTTATTCTGATTGGGTGATCTGCTATAATACTGCTGGGTTCACCTGGGGCCAATAAGGTTCAAAACAGGCTTGAATGTAATAGCAGTAAGGGTGTGATTCCAAACACGTATCTTATAGAAGTCGTGTCTACACCACAAGCCTTCTGTTTAAAGCATTTTTTTAGTCTGGGAACCTTAGGTTAAATTTGACAGTGAGGCAGACCAAAACAGTCACCCACAGTAGACGTATTTGGATGCAAGTTTACTGGTGCACATAAACTGAAAACAAGGCCTGTTAAATTTAAGGTCTCCAGGTTTGAAACCTTCACAAGGACATACATTACCGAACCATTCCGTGCCTTCGAAAGCTCTGCAGCTTCCCACTCTTTTCCTTCCATTCAGTAAATATCCCGTCACGCTTTTAATGATCATTAAATGCGCCTCCAGATGTTGGCCAGTGGTTCGTCCTCACACAGCCCTTTCTGAGTTCCTCGACTGCAATCAAGGCACAGAGACAAGGACCTCAAAGCAAAGCAAGAAAGAAAACATGGCAACACAGCACGCTCTAGATTTCTTGCCTGCTATGTCATTATTCCCAAGCAAAATAATTACAAACATTGCTCCGTGTTTACACCGTGTAGCATATGGACCTGGTCCTTTTATAGTTTTCGTAATGTGCCATTTCAAACAAACTGTCAACCTTTTTTCCTCTTGCTTGCTGTTGAATCAGGCTGAGTGCAATTCGTCATTGTTATGGATCCATGATATGCGTGACAGTGAACATCAAACACCAAACCTCTTCCTGAAAACACAAGGTGAAAAGAGAGAAACAACAACGTAATGCTTAGAAGTCAGAGCAACATGTTAAAAAGGAACTCTAAAAAGAAAATAATTTCTTTCTGACCAAAACCTGTACAGAATGCTGTTTTTTCCCTGTGTAAAATAAAATAAAATAAAATAGTTGCCAGTTAGGCTTCACTTTTTCATGCAATCTCACCTTAAGTGACCTTATAGTAGCTGAATTAATAATCAATGCTGATTTTCCAGCTTGCAAATTCTCTTAAGAGGAACGATCACTTTGAAATTTGAAGAGCAAAGCCATTTTCAGAGCAGCTGTTCTCTTTTTCAGATCTTGGCGAAAAATTACAGTGATGTTATTTTCCATGTCGGCTATCATCCATTAAGCAACTATATTTCAGGGCTAAATTGGGTGGATTTCAGGCACTGTTTAATCCAGCTGGAATTAGCAAGAGTTATAGCTATGGTGAGGAAGAACCACAGCTGAACCGGTTTATGCTGGGAAATTGGAATCATTTGACCAAAACACAATTATGAAAAAGTAGCTAGTGGCATTCCAGAAACTGTGGAGTGTTGTGGGTTTTCATAACTGATAAACAATATTGGTTTTCCAGTTCTGTATAGTGACATTTTTTCATGATAATTCTGAGAAACCAAAAAAAATCAATTCTGTAAGCAAAACTTCTTGTGTTATATTGACATGGTGGAACCGTTTGAATGCGAAATTATTCAGGCTGCTTACAAGAAGATGATTTTTACCACAGCTTGTTCCTAACTCACGTCTACAGAAGAGTTTCCTCCATGTGAATATTACACGGCTCTTTGCCAGGAATACTGTTTATGTACATAGCTTTTTTTGAATATTAATGAAATTGGGTTTGGCTCAAAGGAAGACGACAGATTATTTTCATAGTGTGTCTTTTTATCTTTTCTTCTGTACTTACTATTCTCCAGAGTGTCTGTCCCGAACTACAGTTTCTGCACACAAAAAAATCCAGTTGGTCCAAAACAGGGATGAAATTGCACAGCTCACTATCATAGACTGGTCTTTTGAAAATGTTATACTTTGCTATCCTCCCTAATTTCTAGTCTGGGACTAGAGATACCAAGAAACCACACAGACTTTCACTTGGGAAAATGGTTTGTAACCAGAAAGCCATTGTCTCTTGCTTGTTTACTTTAAACAATTAACATGTTTTGCTTGATTTTGTGGTTGTTTCAATGCCACCCACAGCCCTATATAAGCTTGCATGCTGTAAACGTGCACAGTATCACAGAATTATTCCATAGTCACACATTCTATTCCATATTAGGACATTTAAAGGAATAAATCACCCAAAAATGAAAATAAAAATGTACTTTTTGCACTTAACTGTCACTATCCATAATCTGAATATGATCATGTTCAGTTTTAGAGATCCCTCATCCCTCTTTCATTTATCATGATCAAAAACCCTTTCCATTCAAAGTTTCCATTGCCACCGTTTGGCCCTGTGTGTCGTGACAGCAGCTTGTAAAACCCAATAACAAGCAGCTCTACCAACCTGCTGGTAACACTGTGACTCGTCCTGTTAATTTCACCTGCATAATCAAAAAGAGACCAAAAAGAGCCCGCAAATTTGTATAAAAACTATTTAGGCATCATAAATCCTTTTGGGGTTGTTAGCATAATATCCTAAGTGTTAATTTTGTTTTCTGTGAATACTAGTTGTGGTTGGCTCCCAGCGTCTGCAGACATGGCTTGCACGCAATGGCAGATGCAGGGAATTTAAAGGCGGCCACGTCCTGTGAAGTTACAGGCAGTAATCTGAGAGCTGTGTGCCATGCATTTTAACTCTTTGTTCAGCTTTCTGCTCACAATTAATGTTTCTTATAGCCTTTTAGAACACAATTGTTGTGACCCTGGACCACAAAACCAGTCATAAGGGTCAATTTTTCGAAATTGAGATTTATACATCATCTGAAAGTGATGATGGAAATGATTAGGCTTTCCATTGATGTATGCTTTGTTAGGATAGGACAATATTTTGACCGAGATACAACTATTTGAAAATCTGGAATCTGAGGGTGCAAAAAAAATCTAAATATTGAGAAAATCGCCTTTAAAGTTGTCCAAATGAAGTTCTTAGCAATGCATATTACTAATCAAAAATTAAGTTTTAATATATTTACAGTAGGAAATTTACAAAATATCTTCATGGAACATGATCTTTACTTAATATCCTAATGATTTTGGCATAAAAGAAAAATC